TAAAAAAAATCAATGGTTTTAAAATTATTGGATAGATGTGGTCTGGTTTTTTATCAACACTTCCTTCCCTTTATTAAAGCGAGGTAACTCTTCTTTGGAATTTTTTTTATTTCAGACCACAATTAATTTTTGTAAACATAAAGCGTGGACTGGTTTAATTTATATGTTGAAACAAGAAAGCCATTTTGATGGAATAAGGGCTATGGAATGTTTTTTCCTATCAATTATTCTTTCTGTAGAAGGGAATCATGGGAACAAACTGAAGTTGATTGAGTGAGTGTCCATGTTAACCTATAAAGTCAACAAAACCATATTTTTTGTGATTAATTCATCTATTACCACCTCCAATTAGGTATTGAACTTAATCCCCTTTTTTGGTAGTAAATCTACTAATTGAAAAGTATTCGAAAGTCTTGTAGAATAAACAGAAGGGATATTCAACACCTTCAATTTCATGTATTCCCCTTAAAGGTTAATTCTCAGAGCGAAAAGTATATTCGAAAGTCTCAGAGAATTAACAAGGGTGCATGAATTTTTATCACTACAGATAAAGAAATTCAACAGTTTAAAATTATCAAACATTGGAAATGTCTCTCCAAATTTACTGTTTCTGAGATGATTGACTGAGAGTCCATATTAAACCTATAAAGTCAACAAGACCATACTTTTCTTACTTGGGTTTTGTCAATACCCCTTTAAGGTCAATTCTCAGAGCGAAAAGTATATTCGAAAGTCTCAGAGAATTAACAAAGGGTACACGTAATTTTTATCACTACAGATATGATTATATGATGAGATTAAATAATTTGGAATTCACACAGAATTTTATATCTGTTAGAACTCCAAGTAATATTATGAAAATGATATGATTATATGATAAGATTAAATAATTTGAAATTCACACAGAATTTTATATCTGGTAGAATTCCAAGTAATATTATGAAAATGATATGATTATATGATGAGATTAAATAATTTGGAATTCACACAGAATTTTATATCTGTTAGAACTCCAAGTAATATTATGAAAAATGATATAATGAATCTGTAGTGAATTGGAGTATCACACAAGTAAGTAAATACGCAATTGTTGACTATATAGGTCAACATAGAATACACTAGTAATTCATTTCAAAACACAAATTTGAAGATAGATTCCTTTTGTCCGATATTTTGAACTGTTAAAAATACTGAATCTGTAGTGATTTGGAGATGATATATATAGAGAGAGACTACATATCACACAAGGAAGTAAATACGTAATTGTTGACTACATAGGTCAACATAGAAATTCACTGGTAATTCATCTCAGAAACACAAATTTGAAGATAGATTCCTTTGTCCGACATCTTGAACTGTTAAAATAACTCAATCAGATTCCTATTATCCCTTCATTAGATGGAATAATTAATGAAAAATACAGAGCATATTAAAAGGCCCTTTATACATATCAAAATGGCTTCCTTGTTTTCTTTATCATCCAGGTTGTAGACGGTTTTTATTAGTCTCTTTATTTTTCTCCTCGAAACTTTTACAATAATCCGAAAACATCCTATCCAAATATTTTTAAAAAAATTCATAAAGTGAATCATTTCTATCGCTTTCTCCTTGTATTAAATCTTTCGTATTAAAAATATATGGTGTTTATTGAACAAATATGTCTTTAATAAATGTCCATCCTCCTAAAACGTATTTCGGTGCGGGAGACATTTAAAAGTCATTGGGTTCTCTTCCTGGATTCCCATGGGCAAAATATCCCGGAGAAAAACATCTCCCAGGGCACAATTATACAGGTCCAGGCACTAGGTTAGATCTACGATTGGACGAAAATGATAATCCCAAACCA